CTCGACCTTGGAGGCGGTACCGGTCGGCGTAGACGTCTCGTCTTTGCTGGTGCTGCTGGCTCTTGCGCCGGTGGCCCCTGAGCTGAACGCCGTGCTCAGGGAGAGACCCCGCGTACGCCCGACGAGACTGCTCCTCAGGTCAGAAAGGCCCTTGGCGGCCTCCTCGCTGGCAGCAGCATACTCCTGGCGGGCCCCCTCATAATAGCTCTCGCCCTGCTTGCGGACGTTATCCCAGAGTCCACCGATGCGTGCACCCCAGGGGCTGGCGGAGAAGGCGCGGAATGTTTCTTGAAGCTCCGCGTTGAGATCGACGTTGGGGCGCTCCGTCTTGGCGGACTCGTTCTGGTCGGTTTCCTTTTTCGAGGCCTCGTTGGAGGAGAAGATCTCCTCCTGGATGTGGTCGTACGCTACATCCATCTCTGTCAGTTGGAGATAACGAGCGAGTTGGAGTTGGAGTTGGGAACTCAAATGACGGAGCGGCGGGTCAATGGGCGGGCGGGCGGTTTGGTTCCCGGGGTTACAACGGCCCGACCGCCCCCACGTAGTTTCAGTGTCTACTTAAATTAGGTAGTACGTAGACTACAGCTGCGATAAGAGGCACAAGTGCAGTGTGGTATGTAGAAAAGATGTAATTAAATTGCTTGTCATTCATGTACTCATATCATTATGTATCATATACTTGGGTGTCTTGAAACTCAGTTCTCGGAAATTACGTTCCCTTGGGCGAGCTGTAGGGTTCTCCAACTGTGTCCTGACTATCCATCAAGAATACCGGCAGTGGAATGCTTTCCATCACGCTTGAGGTGAGTAGGTCACTTCTCCTGATCAAGCCGCGAGGACCCGAGTCATCTTGATTCTGGGAGCGATTACGATGCCTGTCTGCTGGCTGTGACGACTCGACTTGTACTATATCTCGCGAAGCAAGACAGTGAGCGGGCGTCCGGAAATTGGCGCTTCCGCTATCATGTCGTACAATGGGCGAAGATTCCGGAACAAGCTCAGTCAATGTCTCTGAATCTATGCACGTCTCAGGATCCAAAGATTGGGTCTCAGATGCAACAGTCATGCGTTTGGGAGTTTTAGAAGATGGCTCCGTCAATGACATGGTAGCGATGCTTTCATCATTGCGTTCATCCGGAAATAGCTCGGCCAGTCTCTGGGTGTTCAGATTGGGCACTGGTCCAAGGGGGAACTGAGTGGCTGGCTGGATTCTGTGATAGTATATCGATGATGCATCTGAAGTGGGATTATCATCTAGATGCAGCTGCTCCGACTCTTCTTCCATCTCCGGAGGAGCCATTGGAGGAAGAGCCTGTGAGCTCTCTTCTGTGGCATCTTCATGCTCGAGATTGGCTGCACCAGGATCGTAATGCGGTACCTTCCTCTGTCGAGGTGATTCGATGGGATTAGGCAGATCATCTTCCAGGTCACCGTAATCTGTTTCCGCGTCTGTCTCATATACCACGGTTCTCTGAGTATTAGGGACATGTTCACTAATTCTATGATGCTCAATGGACTCCTCCGACTTCACTTGTTCGGATAATAGAGCAATGCTTCCTTGGTCACTGGCGGAATTGCGCGGTAATGGCGAGTCTGGAACCAAAGCGGCAGGTTGGGATTCATTAGATTCTGGAATTTCACTCGGTGGGCTATGAGACACATCTTTAATGCGTTGCAAGAGTGGCGATTCTTGCTTTATACACTGGCCTGCAGTGTCAGCAGCGTCGCGCTTATACGGCGAATGAGTCGCGGTACGGAATTGCGAGGAAGTGATGAATGCGATACCCGAGCTTTCAGGTGACTGAGACGACGGTATCTCACGCTCCCGCTTTGCCCGAGGGGTCACGGAGCCAGGGTCTAGAGGGTAATTTTCCTTCTCATTTTCCATTTTGACCTTCGTATCAGCAGCGATGCTCAATTTTCGTTTCTTGCCTCCGCTTGAGGCCTCTTGGTCGGAGAAATGGTCCGACTGCGGGGCCAGATTACCAGCAGCGTGCCGATTTGCTTGCTTCCTGTCGTTCTTCTTTGGCGTGGCATAAGTATATTCCAACTTCACCTCATCGTCCGGTTCTATCTTCAGATAGCGTCGCACATAGTCCATCTGTGTCAGAGTTTTGTTGCCCTTCTTTGCATCCTTGTCTAATTTGCTGCCCTTGACGCCTCCGCCACTCTTCCTGCGCTTCGACTTCGAGTCTACTTCGCGCGGATGACTGGATTTCGAGTGTCCGGTCGATGTACTGCGCGGCCCTTGTTCAAACCTGACCCCGCGGGCTCGGCGAGGCTGGCGACTGGATGGCGGCCGATACTCGTCATCGTTGTTCGAATCGTCATCGAGCTCTATCACTTCATGATGGGCTTGCCGGCCCCGCTGCGGTTGCTTCTCATTGAGGTACTGGAGGCTTTCATCTGCGCGGGCTGGCGGGGGTGTTGGCGTCACAAAGTCGATCTGCGTGAGGGTGGTTTGATCTAACGTGCTAGGGACATGATTTCGTTTGGACGACCTTGCGGAGAACGAAGAAGACGCCGGCGGGTCGCACCAGGACTGGCCCTTGGCTGCATGCGCTATACTGGTCGAACGGCGTGCTCCCGAAGAAGGACTGTCCGGCGTCTGGAAGGATGGGCTGTGACTTGTCTGGGCGGTGGAAATAGTATTCTCCCCTTGTTTCATCGCAGATTGAAATGGTAGGATCGAGTTGAATAATCACAGTGAGCCATAGGAATAGGTTATAGCAGTCTTGTTTCTGTGGACTGGGCGCTTGGTGCTGGTTAACTGACTCCGACCGGGCCCGGGTGCTAAATTGATTTCCCCGTTGAGGCAAATCGCGTCGCGCGTCGGACCCGTTCTTTGAACGTGGTCCGTGCACCCGCAGGCACCGAGGCACTCATCCTTCGTCATCGCTCCTGCTGTTCAATGATGGATCCCCGTCTTCTTCTCATCAAATATGCTGGTAGGGTGCGCTCAATCTGGAAGGGGCTCAAGTCTTTAAAGATGAGTCGCAGTTCAAGAGAAGCTAAGATCCAGCTGTCAGGAGTGATATACCCTCTGTTCCTAAAGTTTTGAATGTAGTTAGAAGACCCCGGTAAAGTGTCAAAACCCGCCCACGGAAGTCTTACATACATCCAGTGGGACAGAAGCCATTGGCTGTTTGGAACACATCTACGTTTCTTTTCCTCAATAGGCTCGACCACTGGCAGAGTGCAAAGCTACCTACAGTATCATGTGTAGGTAAGCTTTAATCATGCATTGCGTCACAGATACGTTCCTCCCGAGCATGATAGTCCACTGCAAACTACGAAGACCTTAAATGAGGGTGAACAACCACAAAAGTCGACAGACCTTAGCCATACATTAAAGCCAGCATTGTGGTTACCGGGTACCGACTGCTTTCGAGCGATCTAGAACCTCAAATTATTCCTTTGAGCGACTATGCTGTCAAGATCCCTAAAATTGAAGGCGCCGCTTCCGTGGACGCGGTTATGCTACTCTGACCGTCGATGTATGGCACACGTCGCCGATATCGCTGAAATACCGACTGTGCGTCATGATACAGTGTGGACATCATATTCATAGATCCCTCCTGACCGTCGTACTACTATATAGGACGATGACAAGCCATTCAAGGTCCCGATCGCAGAAGAAAGCTATGAAACATACATTCTCGAGACACCTCCACATACCCTCGAAACAACGAAAAGACAACTCAAACAATTATACCATGACATGTTCATGATCAGGTCAGTTTAGCTCTTCGTATTGGGCCCAAAAAATTGACACCACCAACCTAGAGGCACATACTAACAATTCCCTGCAGGCGCATGGAGCTGGCGGCCGACAAATTATACAAGGAAGGGAAAGTCCGTGGTTTCTGCCATCTATCTATAGGCCAGGAAGCCGTGGCAGTGGGGGTTGAACATGGGATCTCCAGGGACGACAAGCTCATCACCGCCTACCGCTCCCACGGAACCACCTTGATGCGCGGCGCCACCGTCAAGTCTATTCTCGGGGAGCTGCTAGGACGCCAAGATGGCATCTCCCACGGAAAAGGCGGTTCTATCCATATGTTCCGAGAGAATTTCTTCGGCGGTAATGGCATTGTGGGATCACATGTTCCGGTTGGAGCGGGAATCGCATTTGCCCAGCAGTACAACAATCGAGATAGTGTAACCGTCAACATCTTCGGCGACGGTGCGGCAAACCAGGGTCAAGTCCATGAGGCCTATAACCTGGCCAAGCTGTGGGATCTGCCTATCATCTTCTGTTGTGAGAGTAAGCTGTTTCGCACTCTTCTTTGCATCCCTCCTCGTGGCGAGACTTCAAGTTTCCATTGCCGACATAACGCTAATGGCCAACCCCAGACAATAAATATGGAATGGGCACATCTGTGCAGCGATCATCTGCAATGACCGACTTCTATAAGCGCGGCCAGTATATTCCCGGCTTGCGCGTCAACGGGATGGATGTCCTCGCGGTTCTGGCTGCGATGCGTTACGGCAAGGCATTCGTCCAAGCGGGCAACGGACCGTTGCTGTACGAGTACCAGACCTACCGGTATGCCGGACATTCCGTGTCTGACCCAGGTACGACATATCGGTCCCGAGATGAGATACAGGCCGAGCGGCATCATGATCCTATCTCCGTTCTCAAGGATCAATTGCTGGAATGGGGTGTAATTTCAGAGGAGGACGCAAAGGCGACGGAGAAAGAGGTTCGCAGCAAGGTCGACCGTGAGGCGGAAGAGGCAGATCATATGCCTGCCCCGGAGCCAAGGTTGGACGTGCTGTTCCAAGATATCTATGTCCCTGGTAGCGAGCCCCTGCAAAGGCGGGGTAGAACCGTCGACGAGACGTACTACTAAGACGAACAAGCCAGGCCACTGAAGGGTGTCTCCTCATAGTGAATCATACTTAGCATGTGATCCGCATCCACTTGTGTAGGATATATCAGAGCGCAAGAGACCCTTTTCCCCCCCTGCACTCGTAGGAGACTCAACACAACCTCGACCTTCCTAGCTCCCAAGCAAGAAACAAGTCAGCTAGTACGAACCAACCAACCGACCCAAATCAAAATGGTTTTCCAGACCCCACCCATGACCACCCCGGAGTACTGCACCGCAGACTTCTCGCTTATCCCCGTACGTACTACTTCCACCAACACCTAAGACCCCCCTCAACTCTCTCCTCCGAAACCCATGAATCATCCATCAAAGCAGAGTCCTCACCCCAAACAACCAAATAGATCGGCTCCAAAGACGTCTCGTTCTCCAAGCAAGTCGCCGAGATCCAGCGTCTGATCCAGAACACCGGCCTCAAGTCCCAGATGCATGCCACCGGCACCACCGTGGGTGAGTCTAACCTCCCGGTAGAACGAACCTCTGTCAAGAAGCGAAGAATCCCTGACGATGAAATGATCGGAAAGAGGGAACATGGGACCAGGTATCGCAGACCATCGGATGCGCTCACACCATGATCCATAACGAGGGGGTGGGCAGGATCCAGACGGATATCCGCATCGCAACACGGTAGGTCAGATACGCTTGTTATTTTCTTTTCTGACATAGGGAAGGGGGGATGTTATGCTGACGCGGCGTTGTTGTTCTTGTTGACAGGACCGATAAGATGCAGCCGATGGAGGAGAGTATCTCCTCCGTGCAGCGGGTGTTGTCTACTTGATTGTGATGCGATGCGAGCCATGTTCGGGGATACGAACAGTGACGATTGGTGCTTTGTGTTGCTTGGTGGAGTGCGGATTGTTGTACTGGGATGGATGATGAAGTAGGCTAGGTTTAGTAATGAGATTGTCCCTTTTTGTCTTCTTCGAAATGTAGTAGACCGAAGTTTGTGACTGTAGGTTGTGGGTTTGGTGATAGAAGCATTGGGGAGGTGTCTGCTACGGAGCGGGAGCACCCGGACAATTCGTGTCGACTGTGTATTCTAAAGACGATATCTCTCTGGGAACGTCGGAGTAGGCTCAGCAGAAGAGTTTTCTTCAAATGACCAACTACACCCGAATAACTAGACAACCCCAAACCCCTTAATCAACCTGGCTAAGAGATATATCACGATATGATATGATTACGAGACCCCTAAAATCTTGGCACAAATGATGAAAGTAAGACAAGGACATGAAGAACTCCGGTCCCAAGGAGGAACAGACATACAAGCTCTGTACAGTACATTGGATAAGTAACTTTCTTAACAAGTTACATTGTCCCCTTTCCCAGAGTCGAATATAAAATGTATCTCATGGCCGCAAAATCAGCAGCGCAGCCAAGACCGATCGCAATATGACCGAGCCGGCTACTGAGCACATGGGCAAGTGACAGATTGATATCAACTCGACGTCATACAATGGGGGCATCGTATTTCGCAAAGGACCTGCGGTTAGAATCACCTCCAAGATGGCGGCCTTTGATCCATGCTCCTTTCGAGCCTAGTACCCCCGAATTCGACTTGCAAGACCCGACTTGAGTTCCGCAATTTGACGAGACCGGCGAAACGCCGCCCGGCTAGAGGTACTGTACCGGCGGCAGTACTAGTTCGTCATGTCAAAGCGGTGTCGGATCCCTTAGCTCTGACCGAGCATGCTGCTTCATCGAAGAGTCCAAGTGGCATGGAGAGCGGTTTCAATAGCTGCAGCTACTATGTACTAAACCACAACACTCAGTCACAGTCACCCCCCTGTGGGCGGGACGTGGAGGGGTGGCGATGGTATGAAGAACAGCGATGTAATCGATTGCCACTTCGAGACACATACATGAAGAACTGCCAGACCAAAAGCTCGGTTGCAGCTCCGATCAGCAATTTGATAAGGGAGTAGGCCTGGTGAAAAGCAGTGGGTGGTCGTTCTTGTCGCTTTCCTACTCGGATGGAGATTCGAGGCCTTTAGGAGTGTTTCCCATGTGTTTTGCGGAGGGTCATTGTTGCTTCTGAATCTCTGCTGACATCGAGGATAGATCTATTGTACCGTACCTAGCAAGAGCTCAAGATAGCGTACGGTTGGTTGAATAGGGCCATGCACTCAGTGATGGTCGGCGTTGGTTGTCGAGGGAGCAGGAAAGCATTGACCCCATCTTTCATGTTTCAAGTAAAGCAGGCGTCGCATGTGCAACAAAGACTTGGTTTGTAGGTGCGTGTTGACTTACTAATACACACTCTGTAGGCGAGTGAAGAAGTCCATTGACGCGGCCAATGAACGTGGGATCCCCTTTCGGTGATTGTCATTGTAGGTTACCTTCCATACACCGGTGGGTTCTTCCAGTATCTGTATAATCGCAGATAGCCAGATGCAAAGCAAGTCTTCGGAACAATTGATAGAAGGTGTGTGGCGGGGAGGAGGGGGGTTGTTGTTGATTCATACGTTGTATGGTTTCAGTGACATACAAACTGTAACCTTGTTGCATACAATACGTCACACATACATGGTATACCAACGTGTCTCACCGGAAGATAAGCAAAAGGATTGCTCAAGTCTTTAGAATCCTGGAATCTGTGGGGATCCGGCGGGCTGGGATGGCTCATGCCAATGGAAAGGTTGATATTGGTGGTAGACACCGACCACCTGGCAGGGGATGGCAGGCATCTTCTCCCGGGAGATTTAGGCAACCCTGCTCTCGGTAGAAGACTAGATGCCTAGATGCCTAGATGCCCTGTCTTTGCTACACTGCCTCCCTCAAAGGACAAACCCTGCAAACACACATATGCACACATACATAGGTAGCCCGTTCATGCGGAGAAGCAAGTGATGAGGTGGTACAAAGAGCATGGTGGAGGCCCACCTGATTCGTGCAGAGTCTTTTTTGTGCATTACGGTGGTGAAGAGCTAGAGAACTAACTCTTGGCATGATGCCCTTGCTCTTCCATTGTTCTCATGAGGCTCGACAATCTTCCCCGATCAGGACGGATGTGCGTAAACCTCGCCAGCAACAGTCTCTAGTCAGGTATTTGTCAAGTCTAGAGCGGGACTTCCACACTGAGCTACTGAGCTGCCTCTGGTACAGTCAGTCAACTCACAATGCCTTGAAGGTTCAATCTTCCCCCTTCGCTTTGGAAAGTCTCCGAGATGCAATTCCACTGGATCTATTTGTAAATCTTAAGCTGTCCACTGCCAGATGAAGCTTGAAGTTGCCCCAATGGAGAAATTGGTTAGACATGCTGAGTGATGCTGACATAACTGTGGCTCCCAGGACTTGCATTTACGTATAGGTACCGTCCTATGCGCTTGTTCATGAAAGCGCCAGTCGGCGAAGCGTCGGAAATGAGGCAAGATGGAGCTATAAACAGAGTTGTCGCTACCCAAAGGAGGCAAAGAGGATCTCTTCGAGCGGCTTCATCCCCCACGCCGAGGACAGCCATAGGCTGGAACATTGGTTGCGAACATGGGGTTCTGGTGGAAGATCATCTAATTTTTCCCTTTAGTCTAGTGTCCCGTTTTTTTTTTAATCTGGAACCGGCCCCATTCCCCCTGTGCTCGACCCAGTTGCGAGGAGTCGGACTGTCGGATGGTCTGCCTTAGTAGAGTATCGGGCAGGAACAACGAGCCGAGCTCTATGCAGTATTAAGACCCACGCGCTATCAACAATATTTTGGCTGCTCATTGGCGAAGAAGAGTTCCAAGGCAGGGATCTAGGAGCCGTTGCGGTGACTTGTCTTTTCCTTGATGGCTATGCTCTCATGGTGCAGTAGCTTTCCGGCCGGCCACTTGCTATACTGTTCTAAGCATTAGTGAGACCAGTAGTAGGGTTGGCAAATAAAGCATTGCGAGCTAGCGAGTGCTTTTTTTGGGATATGGGAACCTTTCAAATCCCGAAAGTCTCTCTCACTCAAGCGATTGTTGCCATGACCAGCGTGCAAGTTCCTTCTTCCATCGCTCTGCTCTTCCTTGTCTTGCCGGCGACTTCCTTCCTCCCTCCGCCTGAAGGGCCTCGGAGTGTGCATCCTACTTGCCTATCAAAAAGGCACTTGCATCGTTCTGATTCTTGCCGAATAACATCATCGCTTCATGTGGCCAGCCTTCATGACAGACTGTCACACTGACACGAGTTGCCTTATAGGGAGTAGATGTGACATCACTCGAATTTCCGAATTTCCTCGAGCAGGATGGCAGATGGACTCCGTCATCGATGATTCCAGATTAACTTCACCTAAGCTCCGTCCGATGGGGGTCGCCGACTGGGTTGCCTTCACAGGACTGGTGTTGACAGTTGTCACCTTGCCTACCTTACCCCACCATACCTATACAAGTCAATGCACCTGGATTAGGCAGGACTCTAAAGGACAAAGCCGATCAAATGTCAGGCGGATTATGGAGTTCTAGATCTGACACCCGGAGACTTTGCTCGCCTCTTTGCTCACCATTGAAGTCGACTAAAAGAGAGAGGTATCCACCACGACGAACATAGAGCTAACCAATTAGCCCTAGACAGAAGCCTTTTGTAGCCTCAGCATCAGGTTATGCCCCTCGGTTCTTGGTCGACGATGGTGCAAAGCCCCATAGTCTAAGTCCTGGGTCGGAGATGGGGGCACACTCCGAATCGGGAAGTAACGACTTTCTGGACTGAGCTGAGCTGAGCCTGAGTGTAAGTGATCCCTGCCGTAGTGTTCTAACCCCCTCCCCCATGAAAATCACCAGCTCACTAAGCTCATATACCAAAAGTGTCAAAATCTCTAGAAGCGAGGAGTCAGCACTTTCAATTTATTTTTCTATCACTGCTCACACTGGGCTTTTTGACAAGCTGTTATAGTTTAACTGTGTCATGTTCACTTCCGCCAGGGACTCTGACGATGGATTGCAAAACAGACAGTGAATCATGGGATCTGATTTGCAGATCGGCAAAATTATGGTCTAGAATAGATCTTGGTATTGAAAGAAAAAAAATTGCTTGACCGGCCATTGCAGTACTATGGTAACGAGGTACTAAAGGCCCGAAGTTTGTACTTGGGGGGTTCGTCTGCTCGGATCCGGAAACGGAAATAGATTTACCTCAATGATCCACCACCATTTTGCAGTGACTCAAACTATGCGACTCTGTACAAGCTCTCTCTTGGCAGCAACGAGGCAGTAAGAGTGAGATGCACCGTGGCCGTCACCCCATTGGCACCGTTTCCACAGACTGCCGGGAAAAGTGCCTCCTTCTGGACTATGGCCCAAGACTTCACTTAACCAACAGCCATCCTCAAGAAGTGAACATGGACCGTGACAAGCAACCTGGAGGCTGCACTGTGCGTAACATGACCAGAGTTTCATTGTATGCATTGTCACTTCATGAATACCTGTGTACTGTACTGTACCTTAACGTGCTCTGTCTACCTCCTCCCCGTCTCTTTCGGCTGTTCGAAAAACTGGATCGCCGCCCCGCAGATGCATCCTGTAGGCGCGCGCGGTGGAAACGCACCGTATCCGCTGGGAAGGTCCGAGAATCCTGAAAGAATGGCCAGAAATTTAACTCAGATTGCCTGCGACTGTCGTACGATGTTGGAAACCAGCACTAACTTAGGCATGGAAGCCGGCCGAGACACGCCCGGTGATACTCTACTCAGGGTGTGTGCACATGTCCTGCACACACAAATACCTATGTACAACATAATCTGCATAGGCCAACCCCCGGTTTACCATCTGGTACATTGTCGTGCCTCTTAAAGTCTACGGAGCAGAGCCTGTGTATCTTATTTCGTCCATTCCTGCTACCTAGGCTCTTGTGTCGCTGCAAGCTTCACAAAAGACAAGGAATTGACAACGAGCAAACTCCAATTGGAACCGGTTCAGGGTAAGGGTGAACGACGATTAGCTTTCGCGTTCAGATGCGGGAGCTTCCCGGCATAACCGCAAGTGGAGTTTGACCTTTGGATTTGAAATAGTGGAGGCATCAACACGGAGCGGTCGAGGGAGGCCACTCGAAGGATGCGATGCTTGCGATTCCACCATACTGGGTGGGTCAGCTAGGATCCGACAGCCAGGATCCGACAGACTGGATACGGCGGTAATTCCGTGCCTCCTGTCTAGTTCGGCCATTGTACTGTAAAAGAGGGGGAAGGCCGTGTCTTCAGATGCCCATGTTCAAGACAACTATTTTTTTAAAAAAAAATTTTTCAAAATACTTATGTTGTTGAATGAGAGGGGTGAGGTGGTGAAGAGGATTGTCGGACACGGAAACGCAAGTCGTAAGACTGGACAAGTCTAGTCGCTTCACTCTCCTGCTCTCCCAGTCTGGTTTTGCCGGGCCTAAGCCTATAGTCAAACGTTTCTCATCTATTAAACTTCGGTCGCGTCGTGTAAAAAATAAGCAGAGCTCTCTTACGAGGATCATGCAGCCTGCATACGCGCAACAGACCTTATTAGTGAGAGGGAGCTTAGTGTTCAGTAGTTATAGTAGTTAGCAAACAGCACCATTCCAAAACTCAGCCCAGTCGGATAATGTGGGAGCGATCCAAGGATGGGACTTTCCAGCCGTGTGGCACCAGCAGCCATTGGATCCCGGGTGTTTTTCTGAAGATCTTCCACAAACTTACCTCCCTGCACCTTTGATTGTCTCCCAGTGTCGACGAGAACCAACCTACAGCTTGTTACCTTTCTCCGAAGTACAGTACCCGTTGCCCCTTCCTATCTTTTTTCTTTCTTTCCCCTTTTGATAGATGCGGAGATTTCTGGTGCTGTGATAAGACAATGTATCAGCTTTGAACAACCGCCACTGTCTCAGTAGTAAATAAACCTCCGTATCGTGTTGCAGATATCGGGTATATCTAGATTTCTTGCGCCATTGGGATTAAATATCAGCTCGGGTGGATGAGAGAACCCCTTTCAAGTTTCAACTTCCTCCTCTCTCTGATTAGCGAATCTAATCTATAGTGTAATGAGCCTTTTTCTCCACTATGATATTCAATACCATCCATGTACTCACACGTACATACCCCAGTGCAGAACGCACCCGACAGGCTGGGACGCCCGTGCGCTTTTAGCCCGATGTTCTTCTACCGGCTACTTAGTGCTTGAGTACCGATGCGTAGTGCAATAGTAAAAAGAAATAAGGATAAGACAAGCCACATATAAGGACTGCCCAGATGTAAAAAGTAAACATACCGAGAGTCAAAACCAAAGAAGAGCCGTGGGGGATATCGACAGATATGATGAACGTGTTCATTTTGAGCTCCTCTTCAATTCCTCCTTTTACCCCTCCCTCTTTGCTGCTAGTAAAACACTCCCACTCTTAGCAATTGCTCCGCGTGAACTCTACCATGGCATGATCCTGGTCTTAAGCGACGTCGGATCCGAACCAAGGATACTAGGAGGAATGTCTATATCTATTCCAACGATCCAGGGATCCCTGCAATAAGCTTGGGACTGATTCGAGGTTTCCCCTCCCCGTGATGTTAGGAACTTCGAAGCTCGGTCTTTTATCATCTCTCCGGGCTGGGGTGATTTTTTTTTTTCAGTTCTGTTCTCCGAGGCTCAATGTCTTGGGCTCCACTCTCTTTCAGTCTGTCTTGCTTCAGAATGAGCGGAGACACAGTTGGTTTTTTTTTTTTTTTTTTGTTTTTCTTTTTGCTTTTTTTTTGGTTTCCCTCTCATCTGTTCCTATGATCTGTTTCTCCATTAGTAAGTTTTCTTCTCTCTCTGTCTGCCCCTCCCGGCCCTACTCCCGGCTCTACTCTGAAAGGGGGATTCCCGGTTTCTTACTACAGCTGGAAGTCACGAGATAATTATCCGTAACTACGTAGTAGCAAGTGCGGAGGGATTTAAACATCCATCGAGCGAGACTAATGAAAAGTACGAGTACGTATGTCCATCGTACCTTTCACCATTCAAGGTAGGTAGTAAGTAGTATAGGCAGAGCACAGAGTACTAAATTAGTCACATTAGTCGAATTTGGAAACCCAAAAAGTCATGTGTTAATGACCGGCAAGTTCTTGATGGGGCGGGCTTTGCGTGCATCCGTCTGGGTTGCTGGGCTTGTTTGTCCCGCCGCCCGAACCGCCCACTTGGTTCGCAGGGCCGCAGCGGTAATCGTAGTGTAATAACGCCCCGTCCGCCGGGGGGGGGAGGGGCTTCCTGAGCGCTAACTCGTAGTAAGTACAGTATTGTATATACACACTAGAAACCAGAAGATGACGAGAAGCTACTTATAGTTGGAAGTTATCAGGCCCGAAAAACCACGTAGTGAATGGGGCTATAATATCGTTCTTTATGATTTATGAATAGGAATATTACAGCCATTCATGATGATTTTGAATTATCATTTTTTATTGGAATCCTTTTTCTCCTGTCAAATTAAGTTAAACATTGGGAGACGAATCCTTCCCCCCCCCCTCCTCGTCCTCATCAAGTCAAACTTAATCCAGGCTGCCGGGTCAGTTCAGGTTACCAGGAGAAGAGGAAAAGACAGCCGATGTCTCCTACTACCTTGCCCATCATTGCCCCCCTCCCTCCCTTCACGTTCTCTGCTTAGCTAGCTACCGTCATTAAGGGTGAAGGCTATGGCAGGTAGTTAATCAAAATTAGAGTAACTTAAAAACTGCCCAGCATTACTCCAGATCTGGCTAAGGTCCCTAGATCCTCACTTCCAGATTTGCAAGTCCTTATATCGGTACAACAACAGACAATTCGTAATTCCCTCCTCGCCATCGTCCACCACATTGTTGCCCAAATTTCTCTCGTAAGAAACTTTATGGCTGCGTGCTGGAGAGGGAGACGTGATTGTTGTCACACCTCATCTTGATTGTCTATCATCTGGGAACATTTACCGAGACCAAGGCTTGGATGGGAAGTACTTTTGCTACTACTACTCCTACTCCTACTACTACCAAGTTCACCCCACTCGAGACCTGGCCCCTAAAAGTCTTGCTACTCAAGTCTGCTAGTCCAATGGCTGGTGCAAGGTCGGCCGTAAGCATATCTTTTCCTCTAGCTTCATGTGGAAAAAGAAACCCTACTTCATTCCCTTGTTGCCGTTGAGGTCCCTGTTGTTGTTGCTATTTGCCTTAACACACCTGCTTTCTCGTCAAATCGCCACCTACACTTTGCCCGCCCCCAACCGGCCCCATCGAGCCTCTACTGACGAACAATGGCACAGGCATCGAATCGTGAGGAGTAAGTCCGATTTCATGTTTTACAACTCGATGACAGTCGGTTGAACCTTTCGAGGTATTTCTCATAAGTTGTACCGGTGTTGACTGACTATGGCAGCGAGACACAGTCGTTAACAGCAAGCGTGACGGACTATCCCATGGAACATGGAAGACGATACCACAAATATCATGAAGGCTGTACGTCTGCAGAGGATCGACCATGTGGACAAGGACCCCATCTAACAACATTCCTCCAGCATACTTGTACCCGAACGATGAACAGGAACTGGATCGAATGGATATGCAACACCACATGCTCAGACTAGTCAACCACGGGCGCTTGTACTTCGCACCTGTCCAACGCCCAAAACGGATCCTCGACATTGGTACTGGTTCTGGTATATGGGCTATCGAGATTGGTAAGAATTCCCCCCCAGATTTACCCTGCTTACCTGTCATCCGATCGATCAGCTCACATGGTTGCCGCTTCTCGCCCATAGCATCCGACTTCCCAGAAGCCGAGATCACAGGAACCGACCTGTCTCCTGTTCAGCCGCTTGAAGTCCCCGAGAATGTCCACTTTCTCGTCGACGACGCCACGGAGGAGGACTGGCTGTGGGACCCGGATCACTTCGACTTCATCCACACGGGACATCTGATAGGATCTCTACCGTCGTACAAGGACCTGCTGAAGAAAGCACACAAGCACCTCAAGCCGGGCGGCTATGTGGAATGCCACGAGTTCGACTCCCGACTCAAATGTGATGACGGTACGATGCCTCCTGAGGACCCTGACAAGTTCAGCGACTATGCCCTCCAAGATCTCATGGACCTGCACTACCGCTCTGGCCAGGTCTCGGACCCGCCCCGACAGTTCCGAGTGGCCCATCGCCTCGCACGCTGGATGCGAGAAGTCGGATTCGAAGACGTGCAGGAACATCGGTCCATGGTCCCTGTGAATCCATGGTCATCCGATCCACACCTGATGAAGATCGGGGCCTGGAGCGAGACAAACCTGCTGGAAGCGGTCGCGGGATGGTCTTACAAGCCGCTCACCATACTGGGGTGGTCGAAGCCCGAGATCGAGGTATTCCTGGTCGATGTTCGGAAAAGCATCCAGAACCGCAACGTCCACGCCTACTACGAGTTCTATGCGGTGACAGGCAGAAAACCACTCGCTGGCTGAGTTGGTTCTGGTCTGCCTTCACTGATCTTAGCGGCATGACTCCTCACATATCCTCGGCTTACTTCTCTTCTTTGTGACATATTGTTTTCTTTTTACTCCTTCTTTTTCTTGTATTAGCTGGCGCTGGCTGACGAGCGTATGGCATACGATACCACTGCGGCAGAGAGTTTGGTGCATTGGAAGGCGTGTCTCGGTCAATTGACTACTTGGAAGTATTTTGACATTTGGTTGTCATACTCTCACTTATAATCAGTGCTCTGTGCAGTACCCGACTGTAGGAAAAGACAGTGTTGGTCTATAGTATCCATGATCAGTCTAGACTGGGGAGTTTTTAGCAGGTAGCTTCAATTGTCACTCGTACTTATGCGGCGTATTCAAAAAGCAAATACGGCACAAAATGGATGCTCATGGCTCTAGCTAACCAGAAAGAAGACTTTCAAAATTCACGATCATGCCAATAATGTACCAATTTTCTGCGTAGGTCAGGGTTGTATGTACCTATGCTTCTGCTTGTTCATCAAGGGCGAGTGCAATTACCAGGGGCAACGAATGAGGAATCAGGATTCCGTGATTACTCATCCTCCGCTGCACTGGCGGTCTACCGGCCAAGAGGTTCCTTCACTATCAAAATCCCGCGCCCGCTTGTCCCAAACCAATTCCAGCAGGGCTTAATTCAAGTTCGGTCTCCGTTCTCGCACATGTCGATTGCCTCATGTCTCTCGGCAGACATGCCTACCGGCATGCTGTACATCCAGCCTCATCATCGTCGGGGTTAATCGACCACGTCTGGATCAGTGATGATCTGTTGGCGTCGACCTTCCGAAGCTTCGTCAAGAGTCAGCGACGCCATGCAAGCCGCGTCCCGGGCCCATTGGAGGCCCGACGACGGCTGGCGAAGAGAAAAAACTGCGCTCTTGCTCCAGTGACCGGTGCGCTGCCACCGGATCCCCATCTGTTTGGGCGCGGCGGCCGACAACATTTGCTGTGGAACAGCGATCACGCGCCCGCATCTTCACCACTATTTTCTCCATATGATAACCCACACTCGGTCGAACCCGATCAGGGGGAGCATACTCGCGCTGCTACGACGAGGATAATTGGACATGGACTTCAATCAGGGATTTCGCACTACGATTTACACCCCCCGCTCGCTCCAATTGCGCCTTTGTCGGGCGAAAATGAAACGTTAGATCCGGGCGGGTTTGTCGACTTGGGCAGCTCATCAGAAGCTGTTCCTTCTCCTCCTCCTTCTTTACCACCCGACGGCAAATTAGACGATACGGCCGGATTCGTGGACCTGACTAGCTTGGCAGAATCCGAGCCTGGGCCTGAGCTTGGTTCTTCAGGGCGCGATGTCGAGAATTCTGATCTAGGTGGATATGTCGACCCGGCCGATTCGTTTAATACCTCTCTTTCTCAACCACGCGGCGGCGAGGTGAATAAGCCAAGCACCTATGTTGACTTGTCAGCGGAGCCTGCGTCTTCACACCCTGACAGTGATATTGTCGACTCAAGCGGATTCGTGGACCTCGTTAGCTCTTCCGCGTCTTCTCCCAAGCGGTCCAAGCGTGACCTTTCACATCTAGTTGACCCGAACGGTCTGCTTATCGATGTAGCCCGCTTCTCAGATGCTTCGCTTTCTCCGCGCGACCCCGTGGTCACTGATCAGAACGGATTCGTTGAGTTGAACGACCTATCAGAACCGGCGGGTGATAGCAAAGTCCTTCCCTCCAAAGAAATTTTGACGAAGCGTTTGGAAACCTGCTCGTCACTCGAGGCGGTCACGAACTTGATAAATGCGATGGATATAGATCTTCAGCATGAGCCTGGCTACAGTCGCATAGTATTCGATCATTACTTTTCGCAGCTTGCGCTGGGCAAATCAAACGCCCAGGAGCTGTCTTTGTTTCTGGATCACCGGGCACTGAACACTCCAGGAGCTGGGGCTTTCCCAGTTGTTGCAAAGTACATTGTTCAACCTGCGACAGACTCACGAGAGCGTGCTGTATTGTTTGCGAGCATGCTCAGGGCTATCAGAGTCGGTGCGATAGTTCCGTCTGAGCTTCGGGAAGTCATCGGGACCCTGCAAAAGTTGCCAGATGTGGTGGTCACCACGACGGACAGGCCGACAGTCGAGACACAACACAATAGCCCAAGCGGTGTGATGGAAGCATACCAGAAAATCTGTGATGTTCTTGATTCCACAGCGAAGGGCGGTAAATACCCGAGTCTGGACGAGGACACAGCCAATCTATGGCTTAAAATCATCTGGGAGCGGAATGTACTTGCTGAGTTGAGGCTGGCACACAGGATCCTGGCTCGTGCTCGGCATCTTCGTTCCACCTGTGCCTTCTGGGGGCCCCGGTTCATCATCCGCTGGCTTGGACTTCCGGACGAGCTTCGGAGTGAAATCGTTCCCTCCTTCACAACTCTACTCTTCCAAAGGTTTCACTACAATGCAGTAGGTGTAACTATCATATCGGTTACAGAGTATCTAGTTTTGGCTCAGAAGCAGCATCTGCTTCCCAGGTGGCACGACTGTTTGACCTCTATCCGCACGGTCAGAGACATCCCTAAGGCTGGGGCGTGGGTCGACGCACGATCGCAAATTCCAGCAGGATCGAGTCATTCTGGGTTGTCAATCCAACAACGCTTCCTTTTGCGCCTTTGGGTCTTCCGTGCTCTGAACTTGAGTCATGCAGCCGGCCCAACTTGGGATAAGAAGCCTCAGATGATAGGGATAAGGCATCTTATACATTCTGACTATGTAAGGCCGATTGAGAAATGGGGGGCGCGAGTCCTCAGCCTTTACCAGGCTTGCCGAACGAACCATAAGAAGAAAGACCTCGTGAGCAGTATTTTAGATGATGCGCGTGAGTTGGAGCTGCCTGCCAATGGAATCACAATCTTGGCTCTTTCATACCAGACCAGAAATGCCCTCAACAAAACCACTAGGGCGGCTCTGCAAGCTTTAGAGACGTCGGACGTCTCTTTCAACGATCTGTTTCGAGACTTTGAAACGCCCTACACCCTCCTTCTTCAGTTCGCACGCGCCTTTTCGAAGATAGCGCGGGAGATAGACATCGAATCGCCGTCTTTTATGGAGCGCGCTCTAGAGCTGGCCAGAATTGGAAACCGGTCAGAAGTCCAACTGTTGTTTCGGATTTTCGACTGGCATGTACCCCTCAAGATTGCCCTGGCGAGATCATGGCAGCCTCCTCCCGATCCTTCCCATCATGCGCTCGTGGTCTACGAGCCTCGGGACAGCAGAAAGCACCCCGATCCTCACGCCGCGCTCAATATGATAAACACTTTTGCCGTGGCTCTGTCATGTTCACAGAGTCTCACCCCGCGGCAATCCTATCGATTGGTATGTTGGCTGTACGTATATTTGATGAGGCATCAAGCACCTGTGCAACCGATCATTGTCCGCGCTATGTATCATGCTGGCGTCGTGCGCGCCCGACGAGAAATGAGGGGCATGTTCTGCGAGGCGCAGTTCAAGTACATCATGCAAAAGGTACAACAGGTCGAGTCGCCGGAGGTTGTGAGAGCGTTGAGAGACCCGAATTTTGTGTGGAGGAACGAAGGAAGCGACTCGGTTGCTGGGAATTAATACCTACCTTCGAGTTGGGTTCACATGCACTGGAGATCTCATCCCGCATTGCCAGGTAGGTGTGGTTCGAGGCATGCTGGGACTGTTATTTTGTATCGCTTTCTCAAAATGTTCTACATTTTCTACAAGACGTATTATACCCCTGGTTGTACATAGATACTCTTTCAGACACTTTCCTCCGAGTAGAATTGGCAATATCTAATGGCTCACTGGTAGCCCATGTTCATTTGGTCCATAAAAAGCTTTATTCGTGCGTAACTCGGGTACAGAATACAAGACATAGTGATTCTGCGCCCCCTCCAAAAAAGGAATTACATAGCGCTTCAACTCCACCACCTGGCTGACCACAACCCCGGCTGGGACTGGTCCTGTCTAGATGTCCACCTCCATCAAGTTGGGGTCCCCGGAGGCCTCCTCCACGGTGACATACTTCCGCATGTCCTCCTTGCTGATGACCTTCTGGTTGAGGTAGGCGGTGGTGCCGCGGGGGAAGCGGTAGTTGCGCTCCTTCTGGCCGCGCTCGTTGGGCTTGATGTAGTTGCGCAGCAGCTGGGTGGGCTGGTCCTTCTCGATGACGCAGACGTCGACATTGCTACCGGAGCCGAGATCGTTGAAGATACCGGCCTTGATGGCCTCGGCGCAGAGGGCGACGGCGCCGTCGCGGTCCAGCTGGGGCTTCCACATCGACTCGAAGACGGACATGGCGGCCAGCGAGCCGGAGCCCATGGTCACGTAGGGCAGCTTGTCCGTCGAGCCGTGCGCGTGCACCGTGAAGAGCCCGATGCCCGTGGGGTCCACGCCCGCCACCACCAGGTACGCCCCGATGTGGCCCTGGTACCGGAACAGGTGCTGCTTCAACATCGTCATGCAGGTGATCACTCGCGGCGGCCGCCCCGTCGACAGCGAGTGCAGCTCCACGTTCGAGCTGATCAGCGCGGTCGTGAACTCCGTGTCCGCCGCCGTACCGGCGCCCGCACACCAGATCTTCGGCGCGATGTAGTGTAGCTTCTCGCAGTTCTAAGCATTCCCGCAACCCCGCCCGTTGTTGTTAGCCTCCGTTTATTGAATGAGAGAGAGAGAGAGAGAGAGAGAGAGAAAGTGTGTGTGTGTGTGTGTGTGTGTGTCTTTTTTGTGATTTTGTGGTGGAGTTGGAAGGGTGAGTTTCGATATAGGGACGCTAGGCGGCGAGGCTTCTTTACCTTGTCTGCTACTATCGGTCCGCTGGTAGCTCTGGTATCTGCCGCAATCTGGAATCATCACACCGAGAATCTTAGCTTTCATTGTCCGCTTATCCATCGGAGAGATGGGATCGTGTATCATGAGGGGGCCAAGACGTACCACAACACCATTGTCATATATACAACCCACAATCGTGGTACCTGTGCTGGTGGCCTTGGGGAGAGGCACGCCCTTGGCGTGAAGAGCCGCGTTACGGTTGTAGTTGGAGAAATCGAAGCCGGTCATGGTGACGGCGTGGAGATGGATGTGTTTGGTGTCGGGGACGAAGGTACAGTTGTCAAGATTTCAGTGATTTGAGAAGGATAAAGGGGGTGGTAGGAGGGTTAGGCTGATGTATCAAGTAGAGAGAGGTTGAGTTCCGTTGCTTAAGCTTCAACGGCCACTGCTGGAGACGGACGGAGCTGGGAGTGACGAAGCTCCGGGCGCCTGATCTTGGCCGCCTCAGGCAGAAAGGCGGTGTGGCGCGCTCTCGCTCTCGAACCCTTGCAATTCCGCTCCCGCTGTTTTTGTCCGGGAGGCTTTTGGAAACAGCACCTTTAATCCTTACTTTAACTGTCTTTTTGTTTCCCACGCGGCGCTTCTTTGTCCTTCGCCCGTGCTGTCTCCTACGTGAATTGTACCCCCTTGTCTGGGACTTGAGGGTCTTAACTCTACCGATCTGTGTCACCTGTTTTCTTCCTATCTTCCACTGAGAGGAGGTGACCACGATTTTCGCGCGCACTTGGGAGCTCTTCAATTGGAGTCCTCCAACTCCAGCGCCGCTCCTTTTCAGCTTCACCGCAGCGTCCTTCTTCTACTCATGCTCCCAAGACTCTAATTAGGCGATCACCCGCGTTCTCTCTCGAACGAGTACGACCGATATAAAATGGCTTTCAACTTTGGAGCATCGAACCCCGCCGGGGGTAGTGCTCCCCCCGAGCTGGGGCCCGAGCTTCCCGAGGGTACTGCTGAGGTAGGTCCCCTTGCAATTGCTTCCATTCACATCAGGGCTTTTCTAACTTCTGCAATGCTCTTTGTAGGACATTGGCTTCAAAGGCGTTGAGGGCGATTCCAACGTCCGAATCCTTGCCACCCCATGGCCCGAAAACGCTCTCCCAGCCCCGACATGTTCGCTCCTGGCCGTTGCGCCAACCAAAGGCATAATTGTTGCTGCTGGACCCGACGCCCTCTCCGTCGCATCTTCTGACGCCGTCAGAGCTGCCATGTCCGAACCCACAGAAGGCAAGGTGGTCAAAACCAAGCCTTTCCAGCCGCAAGCGACTATCCCCCTCCCTGCACGTCCCACACATGTCACCTTTGCCTCAAACGATACCGCCCTTCTGCTGGCCACGGAGAATGGCGCACAACTGTCAGTGTTCGACACCTCGAGCTTAATGTCGGGGAATGCACAGCCGGCGTTGTCGATTCCTACCAATGGAACCACGTTTCGCACCATTGCGGCCAACCCGGCGCCGGAACTCTCGTCCCTTGTTGCGCTGGTGACGACGGGCGGTGATCTTCTGGTAGCGGACTTGAAAGCGGGCAACTTGGTCTCGGGCCCGAACGGTCAAGTGCTGAAGAGCGGAGTCAGCTCGGTCTGTTGGAGCAACAAGGGTAAACAGCTTGTGGCCGGGCTTGCGGATTGCACGGGCTTTCAGATGACCCCGGATGGCACGCAAAAGGATGTGATCCCACGGCCACCTGATCTTGAGGGTGATTGTCACGGTATGTTGTACTGTTGATACGTATACTTCTGCTCTTTGTCTAATCACGCACAGTTTCCTCCATTGCTTGGTTGGAGAACGACATATTTCTTGTGGTATACACGCCGAACGCATTAGAGGATGACATGGGTCAGAACCCACCTTCGTCCTATTATATCATCACACGACGGAAACAAGCGCCTTTCTTGATTCAGAAGTTGCCTGAGTTGTGCATGCCCTTTGGGGTCAAGCGCACCCCAGCCTTTCAGTTCATTGCACGCTTGCGTGACTACAAGCCTCACTTGAAGGATGTCCTCATTGTGTCTTCAACAGCCTCCACCGATGTGGGCCTAATCACGAGAGCAGACCAGCCGTTGGTAAAGATGGACATGGACACTACTGGACTCTTTGTCACGACTGAAGTGTCAGATGACACAAAAAGAGCAAATGTGCCACTCGTGGCATCTACCGATGAAACTTCAGTTATCGGTTTGGGTATCGATCTCTCTAGCAAGGAAGTTGTCGTTGCTCCGATTGCAGGCGAAGACATCGCCGAGAGCTCCACTCCGTTGCCGAATGTGTTGCTACTCAACAACGAGGGAATTCTTTGCTCTTGGTGGTTCTTGTATTCGGACGCAATTCGACAGAAGGTCCTCTACCAGGGTATGGCGGATCAGACGCAGTCGCCAGCTCAGCCAACGCCGCAAGCTTCTCAACCTCAAGCTTCACCTTTTGGACAATCAGGTTTTGGTGGCTCACCGGCTCTAGGATCATCTGCGTTTGGCAGTTCCGCTGCCCCGGGTTTTGGGAGTCCATCTGCTCAAGCCGCCCCTCAACAGTCCTCTTTCGGTGCGCCGTCATTCGCCTCACCGTCGCAGCCCGGGCCTTCCTTTGGCACGAATAGCCTGCTCGGAGGTAATAAGCCCCAGGGTGGTCTCGCCGCATTGGCAAAGAACGAGCCTGGGTTTGGACAATCCGGCTTTGCCTCACTGGGAGGAGGGTCTGGATCCTTTGGGCAACCATCTACGCCTGGAAAGGGACTCAGCTCGCTTGGATTTGCACAATCAGGTTCTAGCTCCGGAGGTGGCTTCGGAGCGTTTGCCAACAAAGGTGGCACAGGTGGATTCAGTGCTTTCGCGTCGGCAAAGCCAGCAGGCGGATCGCCATTTGCGCAAACCTCCACTACGCAAACGTCTACTGTAAGTCCGTTCGCCAAGAACTCCGGCACTTCGACCTTTGGCCCATCGACGTTTGGCGCACAAACTAGCACGGAGTCCTCATTTACCGCTGAGAAGACGATCGGGTCGACGGGTACTTTCGGGCAGAGCTCTACTCCTTTCGTGCTTGGATCAACATTCAAGCCTGATGGTAGTGCTGCAAATGATCTCCCGAAACCAGATAAGCCTTCTGGGTTGTTCGGCTTCAATGAGTCAATGGATGACATTATGTCTTCCAGCAACAAGACCAGCCCGCCAACTGAGGAGATGGACGACATGGAAGACGAGAGCGCTACTTCGCAGCAGAAATCTGAGCCCAAGGAGGCTACGCCATCGTTGTTTGGAGCACTGTCGGCGACCCCAACCTCCGCACCGAAATCGTTGTTTGGCGCACCGTCCACAACTACAGATTCTGCACCGAAGTCGTTGTTTGGTGCACCTTCGACGACTACAGCTTCCGCACCGAAATCGTTGTTTGGCGCACCGTCAACGACTACAGATTCTGCACCGAAATCGTTGTTTGGTGCACCTTCGACCACTACAAGTTCTGCACCCACATCGACCTTTGGTTCTCAGAAGCCGATCTCGAATCCCTTCGGTCAACAAGCTAGCAAGCCTGGATTCTCACTGTTCGGTAATACAACTCCTGCCAAGTCACCGTTATCTTCCTTTTCTACACCACCCGCAGACACCCACACTCCATCGAAAGAGGATGATGCCCGGACGCCTAGTGCTACACCACAGGGCGCACCCCTACCGCCAGACCCTATCAGCAAGGCATCATATGGGCCCGGTGATACGTCTGCCTCATCGAACGTCTCCAAGAGCTCTGTCGATGACGCGCCTCTACCACCCGATTTCACCTCAAGCAAGCCCGCTGCTAAGGGACCTGCAGAAGACGCACCCTTACCGCCAGACTTCACGACTTTCAAGAATGGAAAGAAGACAGACGATGAAGAAGAGGCAGAACCGGAAGAGGCTCCATTGCCTCCGGACTTCAGCATCCCCAAGCCACGTAAAGAATCCGAAGACGTTGCACCAGTCCCAGACGAATCCGATGGGGATTATTACGAAGGCGAGGAAGACGTATCTGAAGAAGGCGAGAGCGAGGAAGGGGAAGAGTCGGACTTCGCAGACAGTGGAGAGGACATCACCCACGATATCAGCCAGTCTGAGTCCAATGAGCCAAGTCCTAAGGCATTTCCTGGACCTTTCAAGCCCAGCGCGAAGCTCGCAGGCGGCCTGTTCTCCCCTGCTTCCAAGCCTGCCCCAGCACCGCAACCACAGCCTTCAAGGCCATTGTTCGGTGATAGGAGCAATCCGACATTCCCTGCACTCCAGAACCGAGAGCTTCCGAGATCGCCCAGTCCAGTACGAGGAGCCGCGTCGAAGAGCCTCTTCAAGGGTGATGGAAAGAAAACTTTCGGCGCTCCTCAAAGTCCGGGCAGCGCTCTCACTGCAAGGAAAGCCTCTCTTTCTGAACACCAAAGACGCGAGAGTCAACTGAAGCCGAAGCCTTCCCGGAGGGAACCCTCGCAACAGGAGATTCGCGCGAGACAGTTAGAGGAGGAAGCGCAGGCTCTTTCCGACGACGATGAGGATGAGAGACTCCGTGCGGATCTTGCACTGCCTCTGGAGCCTGTTCCTACCCTTGATCCTTTCTTGCCTCATCAAGACTATGCTGGCGAGACGAGTAAACCTGGTATTCCTGGCCAAATTGAACGGCTGTACCGTGATATTAACTCTATGGTGGACACCTTGGGCATTAATGTTCGTTCGTTGTCTTCTTTCCTTCTCTACCAAAAGACGTCCCGAGATTCTCAATGGGTCGACACGCTGAAGGAGGACAATGCCAGCGACATTCTGGACAAAGAACTGGTTCTGTCTGAGATTGAGAAGTTTGACGACGCTGTCGTCATGCTTGCTGCTTCTCTTGAACAGCAGCGCGTGCAGGGTGTGGAAGAGAAGCTCGAGAGTTGTCGGGAGCTTTTGAGTAAAGACATTATCACTCTTCGGGGTCAGTGTGCCAGCATCCGCAAGACTCTTGATGCTCACACCGACACGACCACAATGCACTTCGCACCTCTTTCCGCGGAGCACGCCAATCTGCAGCAAGACCTGCGGTCGGCATCCACCGAAATCCAGGCGAAGCTAGCCGATCTAGAATCTGCCGTGACTCTTCTCCGCGCCAAGATTGCTGACGTTCCCCCTTCGGGTGGCTCTCGCCATGCGACAAGACGCCCCACCGTTGAGGCTGTTACCACTACGATCCAAAAGATGATGGAGATGGCCGAGACTAAGCGCACAGATATCGATGTCTTGGAGGCTCAGCTCAAGAGATTGGGAATCGACACAACCGCTCCCGCGGCCAGCCGGGAAGGGTCCCCATTCGCGACGCCGAGGAAGAGCACCGGCCGATTTCCCACTACTCCGGGATCCCGTGGGTCAGTTGACGGGCCATACCACACTCCCGACTCGGCTAGCCGAGCCATCAACTTCCGATCCAGCATCAACGGGTCAGCCAGGGCTAGTCGGCTCCGCAACGTGGAGGCAGTCCAGGACCTGGTCAGCTCAGAAGAAACGGCACAATGGAAGGCCAAGGTGCAACGCAAACAGCATATTGTCGAGAGCCTGAGGAGCGCCATTGGGGCGAAGAACTCTCGAGTCCGGACGATGAATGATTTGTAAAACTAGTGTTTATGTTTTCCTTTCTTGTGTCTTGGGACAATCTTGCTGATGGCTACTTACTATGAAAGTCATGTCGGAGAAAAACAGCGGGTCTTTTCTGGCGGGGTTTGTTTTTTCTTTTGTTTTGGTTTTCTGTTCTGCACAGGCAGATGTGAATCTTAGGTAGCGCGTCCCATCCGTCTCCACTGTACATAGGTCTCGATTGTAATGCTTGCACGTGCTTGTACGAGAAATGCGTTCATCCAGGTACTGATGAGGAATTTGAGGATAATAACCAGGCTGGCTGCTACCTACGCTGGTGTACGGAATGCTGGGGATGGGAATGGTCTGATAGTGGAGCGAACCTAAGGCACCAAGCTAGGTTCTATAGTCCTCCTCACTGACATCATTCCGCCCAAAGTGGGAGTGACATCAACATGGAACACCATCGATAAGCCTTGGAGTATTTATGATTCTCGTCCCCTCTCTGTCCAACAGGCCACCACCCAGCTAGCTTTTGCAGCCACGAGCCTTTAAATCATAATTCCATAATCATTCGATAGCCGCGCGCACAACATGTCGGAACAAAGCGTGACGGAGTTCATCTACTTCCACGTCAAGGACAGCGTCCGACCCGAGGACCCCGCCCACAGCGACGAGGGCGCCGCTCTCCTGCAGGTCTTCCAGAACACCAAGCACCAGAACGGATACAAGGGGTCCGTCTGGGGCCGCGCCGTCGAGGATGCGAGTTTGATCGTTTGGGCGATTGGTTAGTTTAGTTTAGCTCCTCTTTTGTTTCCAGCCAAAAGCCAACTTCCGCGACCCTCTACCTACCTACCTACCTACCTACCTACCTATCGACCCTCACCACCTCACCCCACCACAAACCTAACAGCCCAACAGACTGGAACGACGCGCACACCGGCGCAAACCCGACCACGACCCTCGCCCCCTTCCTCCCATCGGACAACCCCGAAATCACCACCATCTTCGCCACCCTCACCCCTTCCACCACCACCACCCCCGCCTCCTCTTCCGAGAACAACAAAAACCCAACCACCACCGAAACCCTCCGCAGCAACCCTACCACCGAACTCTGGACCCCCGCGTTCCCGACCTCCCTCACCCCGGAGGAAGTCAACGCCGTGCACGCCGACCTGATCGGCCTGCGCGCCGCCGTGACGGAGCGCCTCCCCGAAGGCGAACGGGCGGTGTCCTTTGCGATGGGCCAGGTGGAGCGGCCGGGGACGATGACGCACGAGCAGAGCGAGACCGGCGAGGCGTTCGTGGTGGTCGTGGCGGCCGGGTGGGCCAGCGTCGAGGTGCATCTGGCGGGCAAGGAGACGGAGGCGTTCCAGACGGCCATCGGAAAGGTCAGGGGCCGGTTGTTGGCGCCGGTCAGGGGGTTGGGGGGGTTGAAGCATTTTGAGTTCGCGGGGGTTGAGTGAACTAACTCGGTGGGTTTGGGGAGTCGAGGTGGGATTGGGGGAGATGGGATGGGAAGGTTTAGGAGGGCATAAGCTAGGTGTTCATGTGTGGCTTAGGTATTAGGTCTGTGTGGGGTCTGTCTTTTAAGGGTTGGAAGGTTGGTATTAGGGCTGGGGTGGGATGGTTGGTCGTGATGATGATGATGATGCCACAGAATTATGATCAGAATTCAAAGCTGCTTCCTTTTTTCTTTTGGTCACACAACAATAAGTACAATACAGCAGCCACGGGAGTGGAAATGGGATAGAGAGATAAAAACCCGGAACGAAGACACAACAAGGAAATGCCCATTAGTTGGTGAAATGAGTAACAAAAAAGACCGACGGGATGGATTTTGGTGGTCAAGTCAGAAAGAAAAAAAGAAGACCCCCAAAGTGTGTAGGAAAAAAAAGAACTAAACTAGCTAAAACTTCATACTACCCGTTTAGATACGATGCTTTTCGCTTTCTGTGTTTGCCGTGGCTTGTTAGTGGATGATAGATCGGATGAAAATACGGGGCACAAAAACTGACCGAGTCGGGAGTAGAGCATGTACAACGCCATCTGGTTGCACTCCTGAGTACCCGTGATAGTGACCAGGCGCTCGTTGCTGTTCTCTTGGGGCTCGTTGATCTTGATCACACTGCCACTCAGGTGTCGGATCTCATTGATCTTGGCTCCGCCCTTGCCGATGATCGCGCCCACCATGTCGTTGGGGATGTAGATCTGTTGAGTCAGTGGCTGACCAGGCATGACGCCGCCGGCAGGGGCAACCGGGGCAGGGCCACCAGCGCCACCAGCACGGGGCTGCGCAGCCTGCGGACCGCCGTAGGCCGCGGGCTGGTGCGGGCCGGCTCCGGAGTACGGGGTGTGGGGAGTCGCGCCGTAGGGCATGTTGGGCTGGGCGACAGGAGTGGGTGCAGCTTGGCCGTGGAGGTAGGGAACGCCATAGCTGCCGGCCGCGCCGCGGTTGGGGTGAGGGTGGTGGCGCTTGAACGTGTCGGGGTGACCGTATTGGCCGCCAGCGGGTTGAGGCACATAGGGGACAACCTGCATCCCTCCAGGCACGGCTCCAGCGGGGCCACCACTGCGAGTAGCGTAGGCAGAGGCTGCCGGTCCGCCGAAGCGTTCAGTCAGCTGCTCGACCAGAGTCACGGCAACATAATAGGTAGCGATGTGCACGGCGTCCGCAACGCCAAGGATTACAAGGGACCGCTCAGTCGACAAGGGAAGGCAGGCATCCGAAGCGTTGAGACGTGCGCCAGAAGCCTCTTGGATCTCACGGATCCGGCTACCACCCTTGCCAATGATCGAACCAATGAGGATATGAGGGATTAGCAAACGCAAGGGGTACGTCTTGGATTGGGCAGTTGAAGGGGCATCAAGGGGCTCGTTGTTCAAGGTACGGATGATCAAACCGAATGCCTAGCGTCCAAATTAGCATCAATGAACCAGGGCTGCGAGATTCACGTTTCTAGGGAATTAAATGTCCACCAACCTTAGCAGCAGCGTCCTGGGGGCCGCTGACAGTCAGGATACGCTCCACCGCACCCCGGGAGTAATCGCTGACAGTGCACTTGGCTCCCGACAGACGACGAATTTGGGAAACATTCTCACCACCTTTACCGATGACGGTCGCAGCCTCCTGGCTGGAGATTACAGCACGGATGTGGATCCAGCTAGACTCGTCCTGAGGGCGCTGCTCAGACTGGGCAGCTGCAGACTCTCCGTGAGAGGCAGTCGACTGGATGGGCTGCGTCTCCGAAGAAGCGCCCTTGGCAGTCGGAGCATCGGGAACCACGGTGTCTCCTTGGCCATCAGCGCTGGCGCTGGAAGCCGCTGCGGCGTCCGTCTTCACCTCGGTATACGCCTCAGCCTCCTCGCCCTTTACTACTTTGTCCAAAGCCGGGCGCTTGGCCTCGGGCTGGTCATTGGGACCCGACGGCGAGGAAGGATCTTCCAACGGACGCTTGGTCGATTGCAACGCGGATGGAGAGGCAGACATGATTTCTGTATGCCCAAAGCTTTGCAGTCTTGCTTCACTTACACAGGAAGTCGAAGTGTCAAGAATAGCTCTCTTGTTTTTTTTTCTCTTTTGTTTTCTGTCTTCTGCTTTATGTGATCGACTATGTACACCAGGAGTTCCCAATAAAACTTGCTGGTGCTGGCGATCGGGTGGAGAGGAAATTCTGGTGCTTGGGATGACTAGGAGGACTGGTGTGAATATGGTGGCGGGAAAGTGAGGTTGGAAAGGAGAGGTCGACGGAGGAAAGTGTGGAAGGATGCTGGATTGTCACGGGCCTTGGTTTGGAGCAGAGAAAGCTTCACCAGAGCGAGGTAGTGGCAAGGTAGAGGATGTAAGGAAAAGAAACCAATCGAATCGGGCACGATGGAACGAAGCAAGAGGTGTTGGATGTTGGACGGAGACGAAAGGTGTGTTCAGGGCCCGGGCGAATTTAGATGCTGGAGGGTGGATAACGGTGGGGGAGGGAAAGGGAAGAAATGAAAGCAAGATTGAAGCCTGAAACAATTCCCAAAGTCCCAATTTCTCCTTGTTTTCCTGCCAGAAAACGCGACTTGCTCAGATGCACAGGCTGTATGTACGTACAGCACGTCGGTTACCCAATCACCTGCCGGAGGGGGAGTGTCTAGCGCAGGAAGTTGGACGGGGGAAAGACTCGAAAAGCTGAGGCAGTCGAGAATAGCCGATCGAAGCTTCGCGGTCGTAGATAAAGATACGGATGTGAAAGGGATATGATAAGGGGAAGTTGATGGGCGAGGGTGGGAACGGGGGGTTCGATGTCGCGGTGAAGAGATGAGGTTGCGGGAGTTGGTGAGGCGAGCTGTTGGCACGAGACACGCTAGTCCGTTTGCAGTCAAGCCGCCCATGTTCTGCTGTCACGTGTTAAGCCATCAACAACTACTGTTATCCCATTGTATATCAAGCATATTAACAGGTCACAATACTTCACACGCTGCCAGATCTCGAGATTAGTGACTGTGATTGAGCTCTACCTTACTCCGGGAAATAATCGCGAAGGACGTCGAATCTACGCTTCCTTGCTGTATTTTCATCATCCACTGCCATGGACGTCCCACAGGAAAGAGTCGATAAAATCCAGCGCTTCGCAGAGAAACGCCAACAAACAGAAGAGAGCCATGCCACACAGCCGCTGAGCCCAGCCAATATCCAGGCTTATGTTAAGGGACTGGATGAAACTCTGCGAGAGCTACAAGAACAAGTCAAGCGTCAAGAAGATGAGTTGCGCAAGGTGCGTATCATGACCAATACAGAGACAACCAGCAGACATCATCAGCTAACACGCGACCCCAGCTACGCGAGATCAACTCCATCGATCTCTCCAGGATCGGTACCAGCACCTGGGCCCGAGTGTCTCAGGTGCGCCGGGCCAAAAAGGCGTATGACTCTCTCCTCAAATCGGAGACGGAGTTTCCACCGCTCGGTTCTCCGTTGCCGTCGTTACTGGCCGTTGAGGAGACATCCCGTCTGGTGAAGGAGACTAAGATCGCCGCCTCGGGAACGGGCAAGAATCTCTCTAACACGCGCCAGCGGTCGAAGACAGAGGAGGCGAACCTGCGCGATGCGCAAGCCATTCAAAATGGTCTGCAGCGACGGATTCGAACTGTGGCGAGTCAAAATGCCACGAAGGAAAAGAAAGCAAGCTCTCAACTAGCGAGGGAGCTCGTGGAGCAGAAGCAACGGGAAAACGACGAGTATGACAAGGCAACAGAAGATACGAAGACCAAACTCTACGAATTTATTGATCGGTCTCTTGCATCGATGCTTGCAGCAGAATCCCTCGGCGGACCGACTGTAGGCGATGTACCAGATGTCTCAGACGCTACCTTGGAACTGGGCTATACCAGCCATGGCAAGCCGAAGAAGCCGAAAGTACAGGCCGAAACAACTGAGTCAGGTGCCAGCCAACGACGCATCGATGAGATTCTACCTCGACAGAACGAGCAAGGAAGAACCTCCAACCGAAGGGACGTGGCGGCAGTCGAGATGCGCAATCTTCTTGACGAGTTGTTGGAAGCAAGCCCCTCGTATGTGAACGTTCGAGAATCCGCAGCTTCCAGGTTTCTAGTACGAGCCAAAGTGGCACAGTTCCACCCGCGCGATGCGAGAAGGTTAAGATTAATTGATTTTGGGCGCACGCTATAATATCATCTAGCTGTCCATTCCCCGCCGCGTCGGCACTATCATGCGGGCTCTATATAGCCCTATAACATAGAAGCGCCATGTGCGCCTATCACACTATCCTTATGAGACACCCGAATGTAACGCCTATACATGCAATAGTCGCAATGAAACCACAGTCGCAAACGCTGATATATCGTAAACATGTCATTAATCGCTATATCTCAGATGCACGCAAAAAGGTATCTCAGACAGGCATCATCCCAATCCGACTTGTCGCAGACTTCGGCTTGGAAGGTTTTTGGGCTGAGGTCGAAGAAGGGCGGTTGTCAGCACGGTCATGGGATTTCCTCCGAGCCCCTGCTGTTTTCGGTTTCGCTTTTGCTCCTGTGTTATAGCGACGTGGACGTTTACTTGTCTGGCGTTTTCGCGGATTGCCTTTGCCTGACCCTTCGCCACCGTTTCGAGATTCTTCAGTAGCATGCGGCCCTTGCTGCGACGAAAAGAACCTGCTGGAAACAACACTCTCATTCATATCAAAGTTAGACGCGTGGTCTGCCAGAAATCCCCCATCACTGAACTCATCCTCGTCCTCACTGCTGTTGAGGTAGATAACATTGTGATGGTTGGGATCGGGTACGACGCCATCGGCATCATCACGCTCTTTCCTTAACTCCTCATAGCGACGCTGCGTGTCCCTAACAAGTTTAAGCAGTTGAGAACCGTAACGGATAACTTTGTCAGGATCAATGCCAGGGATTGCAGCAAGTTGCGAAAGGTCTAATCATCAATCAGCACCGACCACAGTCATGATACAAAGTAATCTTACCTTTAGGGAAGACAATGACCATCTCGCGCAAGATGGTATCAGTAAACGGTTGGTTGCGCAGGCCTTTTTGAAGAACCAACTTTTCAATTTGTCAGTGGTTGCCCTGGTCCATGCTCTTTAGAATGTAAGGAATCTTACGTCTTGGCAGTAGTTCTTCGCATAGACCATGAAGTCCTCAGCTACCGCCTTGTGAAGAGGATCAAGCTGATCGAAACGGCGGTCTTGAGTGATAGGTGGACCGGGAGTGCGTTTTTTGTCTGGACGGGGCCTACCAGCGACGCGAATCTTCTCGAATCCGTCACTATCTGCATCATCAGTAGAGTCATCACCAGTTCCTTGGTATCGGAAACGCGCGAGTCGGCGCTGATTTGCGGCCTGTACAGGCGACGAGACGTTCGTAGATTGCGGTACGGTGTCCTTGCTGCCATCGGTTCGAGAAGACCGTGCGGGCCGTCGACCCTTCCCACTTGGTGAGACGCGGACGTCAAGTTTCAATTTGACGCGACCACTTTCGTAGTCAGTTGCACGTGATCCCAGCTTGATGTACTGGATCACAAATTTGCTACCATTGATCACATTGTCCTCTCTCAAAGCCCCTTCCCTGAGAAGAGTGTAGAACAATCGTTCAACTTCTCCCACTGCTACACCTTTCCCGTCGCCATAGCCTGGGGCATTGCGGTGCTGAGGTGATCTGAACTTCTTAACTGTCCCTCGGAACATGTTCTCGCAATATGACATGGTAACCTTGTCATCCAGGTTTTGAAAGTAGCGAACAAGTTTAACCACAGAGGCAGCGTGGTCTGAGAAATCATGAAGTTCGGTAACAGAATCGGATTTGCAATTGTCGCAAGAAGCATTGCAGTCTTGTCGGCGGAACTTCTCGTTGAAGTAGCCGAGTATTTGCACTCGTCGGCAATCGGTCTGGTTCTCGCAATACTGTACGACCATGCGCAGCATGAGGCGTTGTCTGTCCTTTTGTTCCTTGCTCCCATCACTACTATCGATCATGCGGAACAAAGTTGTTGTATCTTTGTAGGTGTAGAACAAGTAGCAACCAGAACGCTTACCATCTCGACCGGCGCGTCCTGTTTCCTGATAGTAGCCTTCCAAGCTCTTTGGAATGCTATGATGGATCACGAAGCGTACATCGGGTTTATCAATTCCCATTCCAAAAGCGATGGTTGCGACTATGACGTGGGTCCTTCCAGCTTGCCAGGCTTGCTGAATTTCTGCGCGATCCTCGGAGCTCATACCAGCGTGATAATGCGCAGCTTTGATTCGATACTCCTGGCGAAGTTTGCTAGCGACACTTTCACATGTCTTGCGCGAAAGACAATAGACGATCCCCGACTTGTTGCGGTATGAGTTGTTTATGATATCAGCGACGCTGGCTAGGAGTTCAGACCCCTTCTGCTTCTTCCGCACTTCATAGGACAAGTTAGGTCGGTTAAAGCTCTGAATCAATACTTCGCAGCCTTCCATCCTCAAGTTGTGGATAACGTCAAGTTTGACATTCTCGGTCGCCGTAGCTGTTAACGCCATCATCGGGACGCCAGGAAGCCGGGTTCGGAGTTCTCCAAGTTCCTTATAATCGGGACGAAAGTCATGCCCCCATTGACTGACACAATGAGCCTCGTCGATGACAATGCGAGCTAGCTTGTGGTTGTTGCGAAGCCTTTCTAGGCTGCGAACAATGGCTTGGCTTTTGTTGACCATCTCTGGAGTGATGTAGAGCAACTCAATCTCTTTCTCGGGTCTGAAATCAGATAATATGTCTAGAATCCGCTGGCGCTCTTCTTTCTTTGTTTCGCCATTCAGAACGTACGCCTTGATATTGAGCTTGTTGAGATGGGAGACTTGGTCCTGCATCAAACTCAGCAGTGGTGATATCACGATGGTAACTCCACTTGTCATCCCGCTAGAAACCACAGAGGGCAGCTGATAACACAAAGACTTGCCGCCTCCTGTGGGCATTAGCACAAATACATCTTTGCCACCAAGCGTTGCGTCTATGGCCTCAAGTTGATTAAGACGGAATCCCTGGAGTCCGAATCGATCCCTTAGTGCAGCCTTCACATCTTTGGTCCATGCATGTTGTGTCCACAGAGTGTTCTGGCTTTGTTGCTTCTGCGTTGCGGGAAAACGCGGGGTGTTCCCTGAGGTTTCAGCAAAAACCTTACGGTTCTGAAGCTCGAGATGGTTTGCCGAATTCGTGGAGGGATCTTCAAAGTACTCTGCAGCCTCTAGCATGTCTTCGTCGTCCAGATCGAATTCATCCATTATCTCCGTGGCGACAGTCGGAGAACCCATCGTCCTCGTGAACGTATCCTCGTCCGACAACATGATCGTATCGTCATAGTCAAAGGTTCTGCGACTGGAGGTGGCGTTGGGGTTTTTGAACGATAGGTCTGATACTCGCGTGGAGATCTCGGAACGTGCGTCATTATAGCCTGTCGTCGGTCGTAGTGAGCCCTTTGAAACCGGTTCCTCAACACCTTTTGTGATACTTGATCGAACAGTGTCTCTAAAATTAGAAGATGTGGCACGAGGTGCAAGCGAGAATGACGTTGACTGTTCTAGACCAATTCTAGAAGTGCCATTGTGCAGCGAGTCAAGATATGATAAGATATCAGTCCGTTGCAGTGTACGCCGCATATTGGATTCAATTTCCTCTAATTGTGCAGTCAACTGCCGACTCTCTGCAAGTTCCGGCATCGTCTGCGGATCGCCACCTAGCGAAATGGCCTGCATCAAGGTTTTTTTCAGGGCTTGCCTCTTGGTATCGCATGAGAAGTAGGCAGCCCTATCTTGTCTCAGCCTTTCGATGGCCTCGATCTTTTCAGTAAGAGATTTGTTCTCGACAATCAACTCCGGCGCAGGCTCTCCCTTCATTGCTCGCTCATATACAATCTCAGAATTCTTCGTGAGGGTATCTTTGAATGTCGCGATCATCCCTTCGATTGAAGCTGCAGACGAAGACAAAAACCTGGCTACGTCCTTGTCAAGAGAAACAGATGGCGATGAATCCACGGTTGCAGATATGTGCGACGGCTGCTGTGAGCTAGCAAGAGTTCGTGAGGTTGAAGGAATGGCCTCTGACATCCCAGATATGGGCGCAGCTTGCATTGGCTTGCGAACAATAGTTTCAGGCGAATGAGTATCCAGGGCGTCAACCTTTGGCAATATTGGGTATAGAGACTCGTCGGGATTCAAACCCATGTCATCCTTAGCTTCCCAGTCATCGAAGAGATCGTCGTCACCATCTTCATCTGAGTCGGCGATCACTTGACTTAGGTTTCGGGAAGGCGTGCGCTGGTGATTATCCACGGTGGACTGTGGCAGTCTCTTGCGCTGAGAAGGTGAGGGAGCAGGCTGAAGACGTTCAGCAGTTCGAGCAACCTTCAACGGCGAGCGCGCTTTAGGGGCAGACTTTCTCGGCGAGAGAAGATCAGACATATAATCATCACTTTTCCGCTTCTTCCCACGTTTTTCGGGCGAGTGCTTCCGAGCTGCAGCTTCTTCCGTCCATAATTGTTGAGGTTCGCCGAAGCCATCAGTGGTACTTGACGAGAAGGCAGTTGGATCGAAATCTCCAGTCAAATCAATCGTATCCACATCGAAATCAGAGAATGGCGATTGAACTTCGAGTTTTTGTTTTGAGCGGAAAGGCGTCACGGATGTCTTCTTGGGGCTGCGGACTGAGGAAGGAGGAACACTTTGTGATGCTATTGAGCGTAAGTAGCGCGTAATTGTGGTAGGGAGTGTTCGAATCTGAGCGCACACCTTTTATTGGCTTGGTCACGGTAGTTGGCTCCTTCGCGGGCGCCTCTGGCGCAAGACGATGCTTGGATGCTTTTGGGGTCTGGTTGGGGCTATCCTTGGAGAGGCAGAGCATCCGCGGTTTGCGCCCAGACCCCGGAGTAAGTACCAGGCGTGCCATTTCTTCCGATTCGGAGTCTATCTCCCCATCATTGTTGAGATCGGTCTGGTCTTGGATACCGCGAGTAGGCTCCGAATCATCAATTGCGAATGAGCCATGTATTTGGGCGGTTAACGTAGGCAATGTCGTGACCGGGGAGAGTGGGAGAGCGCTCCGGGCACTAGTGGTGTTGTTTTGATACTCGTGCTCGGACGAAACCAGAGAGGGGTAGAGTGCATGACCTTGCTGCAACAGCCATTTGAGATGAGCTGTCAAATTATTCTTAGTCATAGGGCCGTAGTCTTGCTCGCATGGTTTTCTCAGGAGAGTTAAACATAACAATAGCGATGGGGTGTTCTAGCCGCCAAAAACAAAAACTATTGTATGGATGAGAAGCATTGCAACGGCCAATAATCCGACGCGTCTCCGCGCGCTATCACGTGGGCGGTGACTCTCGGCGCAGCAGTTTCCAACTAGTAACTTGGGCATCTGGTAATCTTAGTACCCGGGTTATACATTACATACATTGATCGATACTATTCACTCGCATCCTGTCAACTCACAATATAACAGTACTGCTCATGTGCACGAATACTTGATGTTCTATCTGTCAGCAAACTCTGTCACTTCAGTATGATTCTTGCTGTTCATCGCAAGCATTGTGGCCCCCCAGAAGTCTAGCTCTTGGATTAATTACGTGTCTCCTGGCGCACGGGGCGGCTTGTAAAACTATTACCCAATTTGGTAATATTAGGAGGGGCCAATGGCTCGACCATCTTTTTTTTTCTTGCGGCCGAGAAGGCCCCGCGCTATAGAAGAAATACTGTTCCCGTAGCATTATCGATAAGACAAAATATCCTAAAGCTGGTGAGACTTATCAGCCACCCTGAAGTAACAAAGCCAAGGACAATTTCTCTTCAGCCAGAGTAAGCAAGTACTCACTGGAGCCAACATCATGGGCAAGAAGAACAAGAAGTCCGCCGAGCACAAGGAGCGGGTAGCAGCGAAACAGTCGAAGAAAGCTGCCCAGAAAGAGAAGAGAGGCAAGACCAAGGGCAAAGATGCAGACAGCGATGCTGAAGATGCCGATTTGGACGCCATCCTTGCTCAGTATGCAGAGGAGCAAGCCAGGTTCCTTAAGGTCACCGAGACTGTCAGTGGGCCTCCCACTCCTCGGTCCTCTGCCACTGTATTAGCTTCGCCGTCGAACCAGAACGAACTTCTGGTCTTTGGTGGAGAGTATTTCGATGGCAATTTAGCTACCTTCTTCAATAATCTTTTCATCTACAACATCAACCGTGGGGAATGGAAGGAGATTAACAGTCCCAACAGTCCTCTTCCCCGGAGTGGACATGCATGGTGCCGTGGCGGCAACACTGGAGGCGTCTACTTGTTCGGAGGTAAGTGAGCTTCGCAGTTTGGGGTGGGCTCAATTAGATTGACTCTTGTGTCTAGGAGAGTTCTCTTCCCCGAAACAGGGAACTTTCTACCACTACAATGATTTCTGGCACCTTGATCCCTCGACAAGGGAATGGACCCGTCTCGAAACGAAGGGCAAGGGGCCTCCGGCTAGAAGTGGTCACCGAATGACTTACTACAAGGTTAGTGTCAATCAAGACGTTTTCAATGTGCCAGAAGCTTATGTTCTTGAAGAACTACATCATTCTGTTTGGAGGATTCCAAGATACCTCGCAACAGACCAAATACCTCCAGGACCTGTGGATCTACGATTGCTCGAAGTATACTTGGTTCACCCCGAATCTTTCAGCAGCTTCACAGAAACCTGATCCACGTTCGTCTTTCTCTTTCTTGCCGCATGACACAGGTGCTGTTCTCTACGGTGGCTATTCCCGCGTCAAAGTTAGCGCAGGTGTCGGGGGAAAGCCAGTGAAGAACGGCCCTCAGCGGATGACCATGAAACCTATGGTTCATCAGGATACTTGGTTCCTTCGAATCACGCCTCCACCTGCTGATGCTCCGGCGAACACACTCCCGACAGTGCGCTGGGAGCGCAGAAAGAAGCCTGCTAACTCGCCCAACCCGCCTCGTGCCGGTGCCACCATGGCGTACCACAAGGGTCGAGGTATCATGTTCGGTGGTGTTCATGATGTTGAGCTCAGCGAGGAAGGCATTGACAGCGAGTTCTTTGACACCATGTTTGCCTGGAATACTGACCGTAACCGCTTCTTCCCCCTGACCCTGAGACGCCCCAGGGCACAAGGCAAGAAACAGGCGGCAAACCAGTTCAAATCTCGCGACCGTAGCAAAGCTACCGAAGAGGAACTTCTACAAAACCTGAAAGCACTGGAGGCCAAGGGAGGCATCCGTGGTTTGGATGACGATGAGGAACTGCAATTGGCATCCAAGGCCGACGAGGAGCCGGCTGAACCAGAGAAACCGGCCGTGATACGATTCGAAATGCCTCATCAACGATTCAATGCGCAGTTGGCGGTGCAAGACGACACTCTATTCATCTTTGGTGGAACTTTTGAGAAGGGAGATCGGGAGTTCACGTTCAATGACCTGTACTCCATTGATTTGGTCAAGCTCGATGGGGTCAAGGAGATTTACTATGATGAACCTGGGAACTGGCATCTGCTCAACGAAGCAGATAGCGACGACGAGATGGATGAGGATGATGAGGAAGATCTTGAAGAGGATGAGGAAGGTGATGAAGATGCCATGTCCCTTGACACTGCCTCCCCTGCGCCGACCGAGATTACTGTGCCATCGGTGACCAAGGAATTGGAGCAGCTTGATGTGGAAGAGCAGGAGTCAGAGCCATCCGTCCAGGATAGCAGACCCCTTCCTCGTCCTTTCGAGAGCTTGCGTGAATTCTTTACTCGGACATCTGAAGATTGGCAAAAGATTCTGATGGACACTTTGAAAGAAAGAGGCGTCTCGTTGGACAAGAACATCAAAGAACTTCGTAAGGATGCATTCAACATGGCAGAGGAGAAATGGTGGGATAGCAGAGAAGAGATCATGGCTTTGGAAGACGAGCAAGAGGAGGCTGGTATTGGTGAGGTGGTCAGCATTGCTGATCGAGCGGACAATGCCGGAGGCGCTGGAAGACGCAGGTAATCTTGGATAAAAGCTTATCAGAGTATATCAAACAGACATTGCGAGGCGTAATGTCATGATACTTAATTTGATATCTTCTTGCGATGCTAGTAAATGAAGATGACTACCTAGTACCTCAGCACCACCTAGTGACAAGTCTCTGATTGAACTAGCTAGTTGATGATTTGGGGATTGATTACGTGATCCCCTCGCCTAAGAGCATAGGAATCCTTTCCCTTTTTCTCTTCAGTTCAGACTCTCGAAAGGAACAGACCAGAAATGAAGAGAGATCCACGATGGTGTATCGTGGCAGGCCTTCGAAGTCATGCCGTCAATGTCGAAAGCGTGATATCAAAGTAAGCAGTTTAGACGCTCTTCCCAGAGCCTCATGGTTTCCGTCCAGCGACGATACTCACCGACACAGTGCGACAAGAAAAAGGATGGCTGCTCTCAGTGCTCACGCGCTGGGCTTTCATGCCCTGGATATCATAATCCCAAAGATCTGATCATCCTTGATGAGTCCGATGCTACTATCAAGCGAGTGTCGGTGAACCAGACCATTCGACAATCAAGTTCTCCGAATCCGCTGTCAATCAGGCTGCTCCCAACAGTTATGCAGCGCGCAAAGGGCCTTTATATCTCGCAATACGTTGGCGCGATGCCAGCAACAAGCATTTTCTCTTTCATGCAGATCTTCTATCCGCCGATGGTTCATGGCATCCCGCTTCTAGAGACGGTCACCCGTGCTGTCTTCATGGTAAACTTTTCTTTATCGCACGGGTGCCATGCCGCTCTGCACCACGCTCGGGCCATGTACGGATCAGCTCTGAGGATGACTCGCAAGGCGCTCCAAATCCCAGACGAGGTCATGCTTGACAGAACTTTGTTCTCAGTCATCTTAATGTGTGTTTTTGAACGACTCGCAAGTTTTGAAAATGATGAATCGGTTGTTCCTCGCAGCCATTTGAGTGGAGCCTGTGAATTGATGTCCTTAAGGGGTACAGGGCAGTTCGCGGATAAGTACAGTCCTACCATGCTTCTGCACCTTACTGAGCTTGTGGTACTCGATTGTCTTGCGAGAGGCTCTGCTATTCCGCTGCAGTTTTTGTCTCTGCGGCGGATGGCGCTCGATAATGCCGTGGATACATCATCTCTGAAGTGGAAATTCTGGGATATTATGCTGCGCTATGTACAGCTGGAGAACTCAGTCACGTCGGGCCATCGATCGGAAGAAGTTATACTCAGTGCAGAACAGCTTGATCTCGAACTCGAAGATTTGGCATGTTGGCTACCAGCCTTCGTTTCAAGGAGGCAAAGCCCGATTCCCCTAAATGTGTCCTTTGCTGGGACTGACATCTACCCTGACTGCAAGTCTTTGACGAACTGGAACAATTTTCGTGTGGTTCGTCTCTTATTAGCTAGGATAGTGCGAGAGCAGGGTACTCGACTACCTGTCTCGTCAGCCGATCATACTTCACTTGACAACATTCTGTACGAGTCTAATCGGAAGGCCGTCGACCTCACCTCAGATATACTTTATTCCTGCTCAAGTGAAGTTCTTTCGTCTCAGCAACCTTGCGACCTGTCCTTAAATACTCTACTTTGGCATCTATACGTGGCCAAAACCCAAGAACTGCCGTTGGGTCATCTAGAGTCATCTCTTCATGACCAGATGCTTCGACTGTCGACAATCCAAGCCCCCGGGCAACGAGCCACTGTAAAGAAAATATTAACATCCTCCGACGAGGATTCACGGAATGTCTGGAGAATGTGGCTCAAATTTGGGAGGAACGAATTTCTAATTTAAGATGCGAAAATCCCTGGAAAAATATCCCTTTTCAATACTCATTCAACCTCGCCGCGGCGGGGGGATACCTCGCGCCCGCCACGGGATACTTTTTGAGGATGACCTCGATCTCCTCAAGGTCATCCTCGGTCAGCTCAACATCCTGTACATTCTCCAGCACCCGTGCCTCGGAGCGCGCACCCGGAATCGGTACAATGACCGGCATTCCAGGCTTCCTGCCCTGAGCCTTCAACCAAGACAACGCCAGCTGAGCCACGGAGCAACCCTTTGTCTCTGCGACGGCCTCCAACGCCTCCACCAGCAGACGATTCTGGGCGATGCTATCAGGCTGGAAGCGGGGCACCGTGCGGTGGTGCGTTTCCGGCAGATCGTCCACCGACTTGATCGTCCCCGTCAGCATCCCAGCACCCAGAGGCGTGTGCGCCACCAGGACAATCCCGTTCTCCGCGCATGCCTCCGCCACCCCGTTCTCAAACACCTCCCGCGACCAGAGACTGACCTCGGCCTCGACCATATCAATCTTCGTCACGCTCGCCGCGCGGCGGATCGTGTCCGCGCGGACTTCACTCAACTGGATGCCTCCGATCTTACCCTCCTCCCTGAGCTCCGCGAGCGCCCGCACGCTCTCCTCGACAGGCACGTTGGGGTCCACTCTCCCCAAGCCAAAGACATCGATCTTCTTCTTCCCATCCAAGATCCTCAGGGCGTTGTCCACAAACTTGCGCAGCCCCGCGCGCGAACAGTCCATGGTGAAGGTCTTCATCGACACCAGCCCGGACTTGACCGTGAAGACGACCCGCTCAGCGTCCTCCGGATAGGCGGTGAAATACCGGTTCATCAGATGCAGGGAGTTGTTGTCCGGGGTGCCGTAGAAGTCGGCGCCGTTCCAGACATTCGCCCCAGCTGCGAGAGCGGTCTTGAGGACTTTGAAGGCTTGTTCATCCGGGGTGGGCCCGTATTGCCAGATCAGGCCTATAGCACGGTCAGAATATGCCCAGCAGAATAACACGAACAATGACCATGAGAAGCGTCATGTGCTGGTTTATACGCACGCATCAACCCCAGGCCATTCTGGCTGATTTCTTTTCCGGCGAGTGTAGGCATCCTGAGCGGTATGTGTAGATAGTCGGTTGTGATGTATAGAATCGGGGGAAGTGTACTGTATATGTAGATGGTAGAGTATCTGAAGCCTGTGTTTATATCAATGCAAGCATCTTCGACGACAGCGGATCAGCTCGCTATTTAACCTCCGGCAGGGGGTCTCTTAATTCCATGACATGTCTTAATCGCCGTTCCATCTCCGTGATCGAGGGAATGGTTGAGGGCGTTAAGTCCGCTGCTGAACGTCACGACCAGTTGGATACCTGATTTGGAATAGCGTGGGAATTACAGTGGCTCACTAAGTGATGCGGGATCCATCCATCCATGCGGTGCTCGGTTTCCCCTGCAATCCTGCCGCTCCGCTTGTTGCAGGATCATTTCCCACACTTGGCTGCCTATGCCGCGTACGTATTTCCTCTGAACTTCTCTGAGGGCGTATCCCACACACGCTGGGTCGGTTCGGAGTAGTTCATACCTGCTGGAAACCTTTCCATCACATTCTCATGAATCCTTCGAGGCAACGGAGGGAGATAAAGCATCTTAGCCACGGAGAAGGCTGAAGAAATGTCTAATATGGAAAGACGGTTTCTGATGAACGGAACAAAATCATTTGTATTATTATAATTAAATTCCTCCGACCAGGCAGCCTCATCGCAAGGGAGTCAATAGTACAGTACATAGCTTACATACTCTCATCAGCCACGCTTTGCAGCACTTCCGTCACAAGCGCAAAATCTCGCTCTTCCTCCGCCCGCCAATTCGAGATAGCAATCCGACAAGCGGGTCTTCCGTCCCATGAAGTGCCCGAGACAAACATCTTCGAAGTGTCGTTGATTCTTTTGGCGAGGCTTTGGTTCAGGCTGTCATCTTTGGCACTGAAAAGCACGACCATGTAAGTTCGATCTGGTAGCGCATCTTTGCTACCCGCTGCCGGCAGTATGTTGTACTTTGGATGGTCGTACAGCCAACCAGCAATCATTCTTGACAGACGGATCTGCTTCTGGAGCATAGACTTATAGCCATTTCTCCCGTACGCCACGAGAGAGGTGTAGACTGGCAGTGCCCTGAAGCGCCTGGAGTTCTCCATCCCGTTGTTTAAAGGAGATGGAATCGCATTTCCACCACTTTGACCACCGGTCAAATAAGCTGCATTCGCATTTTGGAATACGTTCACAGCCTCTTCGGGATGGCGACAGAGGATAAATCCACAATCATATGGCACGTTGAGCAGCTTGTGTGCATCACAAGCGATGGAGTCTGCCAACTCCATCCCCTCGCAGCCTCGAGCGATGGAAGCGAATTCAGCAGTGGGCTCGAGAATGCGACCAAAGATTCCGAACGCGCCATCAACATGAAGCCAAGCGCTGTACCTATCACATAGCTCGCGCAATCTCCGCATCTCATCTAAGCTGGACGTGGCGAAGTGTCCGGTGTTGACCTCGCCGCAAGACACAGCGACGATGCTAGCCTTGTTGGACGCTGCCAACTCCGTTTCTAGTTGCTCAAGGTCAAAGCGAAGGGGATCATCGTCCAGACAGATGTTCTTGACGTTCGCGCGTCCGATACCGAGGATGCCAGCTGCTTTCCCCATCGACGAATGGGGTAAAGTTGAGAGAACCTGGATCCCAGAGAGCCCGGCTGCTTGCATGACCTCAAACAGACCGCACTCCCCAACGCTCTTGATCGAGATGCCCTTTTTTTCGGCGGCGGCTCGTAAGACATATTCTCTGCCGCAAGCCAACCCTTGAACATTGCTTGCGGTGGCTCCGGTGGTGAAGGTGCCGTTGTGCCAATGACGCCTGTCCAGCCGTAGAAGATCCACAAGAAGACCCAAAGCGGAATATTCGACATCTGTCGCGATGGAATGCTCTGTGAGATGAACTTGGACATTTTGATCGTATGCAGAGACAAGGTTGTCTGCGAAGAGGGCGGCCGGAGTAATGCCGCCAGTGACAAAGCCATAATAATTGGGGCTTATACTGCTACGATTGAAAGCAGGTACCATGTCGTTCAGAATATGTTGCGTGGCCCGGTCGAATCCCAGGCCTTCGTCGCTGAGAGACTTCGGCAGAGACGCTCTGGCTCGCGTAAGAGCAGCAGCATCTGGTAGGACGCCTGGTTCCCACGTTTGAGTCATCTTCCACAAGTCTTGTTGCAGACGGCCCTGCTCCTGCGCAGTCTTTTGGACATTTTCAAGGTTCATGACTATCATATCACCCGTTAGAAGAACAAAAAGCACCCAGTCTGGACTACCTCCGTGCAAAAGGATACAGGGTTGGTGTTTGGTTTGAACGATTAGCAGAGTTGGTTTTTTTCCGATGCGATTATATAATGTGAACCTAGGACGGGATCTGAAGGTTCGGCTGTACCTGCTGTGTCTGGAAAACCGGGGTTCGAATGAGCTTTGGATATCATGGCTCTCAATGGCATAACTAACTCACATAATGCGGAAGCCTTATCATCTCCGAGTCAAGCATTCAATTGTCCGAAAGTAAGTCTGTCCATTCGTTCAGATTGGGGAAAAGTGGAGATCGGATAGCGGAGAATAAAGAGAGGGAGAAAGTTAGACTAGACCAAGTGACCCGCTGGGTTCGTAGTTTCCCTCTTCGTATTCCTGGTACCGGCTGGCTCCCTAACTAAACTACTGCCGATAGCAGTCCGCCATCAGACTCTTTTCCCTTTCTACAAAACTCGAATCCAATTCAAATCAACTCTTGCGTGATTTCGTGATACTTTCTACAACCTCCGGATTGAGAATATTATAATTATATAAAATATCCCCCGCAGGTCTAGAACAATGGCTGCCAAGCTAATTGACAGGAAGTTCCACAACGTCCCAGGTACGTTCTGCCATTGTTGTTTATGTAACTCCAACCAGCAAGACGTGCTGACGGGTGGGGGCTGCTTTTGCTTCGTTAGGGAGGCTTCGGGTGGCCGAGCTGTTCTTTGATGTCCCTCTCAATTACACCAAGCCCAATGAGGACTCTCTGAGGCTGTTCGCGCGAAGTGTCCGGCGTCTGGTCACTCCTGTCGAGCCTAGCCCCGTCAGTAATGACGACAAGCAGCTTCCGTGGTTGGTGTACCTGCAGGGTGGCCCAGGGTTCGGATGTCGTCCGCCTCAAGAATTCGGCTGGATCAACACCGTTCTTGATAAAGGCTACCAGGTACTTATTCTGTTGCACTCTTTTCTCCAAGAATTACATGCTAACCACCCCCCTAGGTTCTGTTCCTGGACCAGCGTGGCACTGGCCTCAGCTCGACCATCACGGCGAGTACGCTGGCGCAGAGAGGCGATGCAGTCAAGCAAGCGGAGTATCTGAAGCATTTCCGTGCAGACAACATCGTCCGGGACTGTGAGGCCGTCCGAAGATGCCTCACGGCCAACTATCCCGAAGACAAGCGCAAGTGGAGTGTCATTGGTCAAAGTTTTGGTGGCTTTTGTATCACATCCTACCTTTCCATGTTGTAAGTCAAGAACTCGGGGACAGTATACCTCAAGCAACATGAAATGCTGATCACGTTTTCACTATTGTAGTCCGGAAGGACTATCAGAGGCTTTCATCTGCGGTGGATTGCCTCCCTTGGTCAATGGTCCTGACCCTGTGTATGAACTTACCTACAGTACGCACTATGCCTCTCAGATATGACCTCGAAAACAAGCTGATTCCAAGAAGAAAAGATGATCGAGAGGAATCAGGCCTATTACGCCAAGTTCCCCGAGGACGCTAAGCGAGTCAAGAGCATTGTCGAGTATTTGAAGGAGAACGAGGTTGCTCTGCCTTCCGGCAAGCTCACTATCCACCGATTTCAGCAATTAGGTATTGCCTTCGGCATGCATGGTGAGAAAACACGTCGACCTCTCATTATAGGATGAATTTGCTAAAAAAATATGTTCGCAGGGGGTCTTGACAGCATTCACGGTAATTTGCTTTCCATTTGAAGGGTTCCGGCTTAGGCTAACGATGAGACAGATCTTGTGCTACGTGCCTGGAACGATCTAGAAGTGTTTGGCTTCCTTACTCACCCAACCTTGACCTCGATAGACGGTTACGGCGGCATGGACAATAACATCATCTATGCAATTCTCCATGAGGCTATATACTGTCAGGGGTGAGAGCGATCCCAACATCAACCAACCTCGGAACAGCAACTAACGCACTTCCCCTTCACTACAGACATGCGTCCAACTGGTCTGCGGACAAATGCCGTGCCGGTCTCCCCATGTTTGACATCAGCTGCGAACAATCTCAATTCTTCTTCACAGGTGAAACGGTAAGCATTATGGAGCCTGTCAATGACCAGCAGAATGTGCTGATAGACCAACTTTCTCCAACAGGTTCACCAAGACATGTTCGACTCGTACACGGAGCTCCGGCAAATTAAGGAAGCAGCAAAAATCATCGCTTCGACGAGTGACTGGCCCAAGCTCTACGATGAAGCCCAGCTGATGAAGAACGAGGTCCCCGTCTACGCGGCAACGTACATCGACGACATGTACGTGCACTTTGACCATGCGCAGAAAACTGCCGCCAAGATCAAGGGCATCAAGCAGTTCATCACGAATACCATGTACCACAATGCTATCCGTGCAAAATCGGATGAGGTGTTCCAGCAGCTGTTTGCCATGAGGGAAGATACCATTGATTAGACTAGGTCAAGTAAGTAGTGAATTATAGCTATATAAGACTCTATTATTAGCTGAGCTTCTCCATCAGAGTTAGCGGAGGTGTGCTTGACAATGAGAGATGACACCAAAGGAACAATCCTTGTGTCTTGAGCAGCTTTCGTAAAATCTATATACATCTATATGCGAGCCAACGATGCTTGTTTGAAATGGTCTGTTCTCGTCTGCAGCCTTGAAGGAAGATATCTTACTCAAAAAACCTAAGAGAGGCGAGTTGTGTTAGTTTGACTGCGAGTCATAATGTTGGGCACTTTTGACAAACGTACTGCACCACCAATGATAAAAAGCCGCTCTTCCTCTTGTCGCACCCACCCAATGA